TCTTCCGGCCCTACGGGGCACCAGAAGATATAGTGTCCGACTGGATTATTGACCTCTGCCTGCCCTGACCCTGAGACTGCCTGCCGTTCTGTAACTTTTGGACTCTGATCTGGATTACTGACCTCTGCCTGCCCTTGACCTGTCATTTGCCTGCCCCCTGTTTTTGTAATAAACTTTTGTTACTTCGACACTGTCTGCATCTGGGTCTTCTCCTGAAACGTGATAGTACGAACTGGCCATGACTGACCCAGCAGACTCGGACCAGCTCCGCAATGCCATCTCCTCCCAAGGAGCCACCATTGGAAGGCACGAGGAGTTGCTTCCTGGTCTCATGGAAGGGTTCCAGACCTTGGCCGAACGCCATGACCGAGCATTTAACACATTGCTGGAGCAATTCAGAGGGTTGTCTGTTAGGCAGCCTACCACGACGGTAACCTCCCAGCCCCTCAGTAACCCGGCTGTTAGCAGCTCGGCCTCCCCGGTTTCCCGAGAACCCCGCTTACCTCCCCTGGAACGCTTCGCTGGAGAGTCGGGAACCTGTCGGGCATTTCTCGCTCAGTGTTCGCTCATCATCGAGCTGCAGCCTTCCTCCTTCCCCTCGGACCGCTCTAAGATAGTGTACCTCATCACGCTAATGTCCGGGAGGGCTCTCGCCTGGGCTACGGCAGTGTGGGAACAACAGTCGGCCATATGCTTCAGTCTGGAGGAGTTCATGCAGGAGGGAAAGAAGGTTTTCGATGCTCCATTGTCCGGGAGAGAGGCTGCCCGGAAGTTACTCCAGCTTCAGCAAGAATCCGGCAGTGTGGCAGACTATGCAGTGGATTTCCACACGTTGGCAGCTGAGTGTACCTGGAACCCGGAAGCGCTGTTCGACACATTCCTGCACATAGTATCTGAGGAAGTAAAGGATGAGCTTGCAGCCCGGGAACTACCGACGGATCTCGACTCGCTCATTGCCTTGACCATTGGGATCGATGGGCGACTATGGGAACGAAGGAAGGAGAGGAAGGATTCCATCTCACCTCCAAGGCATCCCGGAAGTCCCGACGGCTCCGTTGCCGAGAGAACCCAAGGCTACCCGAGTTCCCCCGAGAGTCTCCGAAGTCTGCCGATTCACCTCTTCCCGAGCCGATGCAACTAGGCAGAGCTAGGCTGTCTTCAGCCGAACGGCAATACAGGCTTCACACGAAGAGTTGCCTGTATTGCGGGACTACTGGTCATTTTGTGTCCACATGTGCACTAAAAGACCAGGCTCACCGGTAGGAGCGAGTACTCTGGTGGGCCATACGGATAACTTTTCCTCTCCCCTTACTCACACCCCCTTTCATGCCATCTTGCTGTGGGGGAACCAGTCGAGATCTCTCCGGGTACTCATCGACTCTGGGGGCGATGGGCATCCCCACTCAGCCTCTCTCCATTCCCATGGACATTAGAGCGCTGGATGGGCACTCTATAGTCCGGGTCACCCACAATACCACCCCCATCAACCTACGAGTATCAGGGAACCACAGCGAGACGATCCAATTCCTGCTAATTAAGTCTCCTCAGGTTCCCGTGGTATTGGGTTTCTCTTGGCTCCAGCGACACAACCCCTTTATTGACTGGTCTACTGGTGCCATCATGGGCTGGAGCCCATTCTGCCACGCTCGTTGCCTGACGTCAGCGCAGCCTGCCTTGGGATGTCTTCCTGGGGGCTCGGAAGTTGCCTCGGACCTCTCCGCCATTCCCGCAGAGTAACAGGACCTCTGGGAGGTGTTCAGTAAGACCCGGGCCACTTCGCTTCTGCCGCACCGACCCTACGACTGCGGAATCGACCTTCTCCCAGGCACCACTCCGCCCCGGGGATGACTGTACTCGCTGTAGGGTCCGAAGACCAAGGCTATGGAGACCTACATTGAGTACTCCCTAGCTGCCGGGTTCATCCGTCCTATGAAATAGATCATCTTTGAGGAGAATCAGGTGCTTGGGAGTGTATGCTGTATTTCCGTATTTTGGGCTTGCTGAGCTATTATTTTGAAGAGCATTAACCGGATGTTGTGATTGTCTGACGGGAAGGAGTGGAGGGCTGGGCGTTCCTCATTGAGGACCATGTATGTTGCATTGATCTGATCTGTAATAGACTATGGCAGTATAGCATATGGTTCGGCAGCCCGGACCTCATTGGAAAGGTTAGATGTCATACAGGGGCAAGTACTCCGAATATGTAGTGGGGCGTTTCGGACGTCCCCAGTGGCTGCATTACAGGTGGAGATGGGGGATATGCCATTGCAGATTAGGAGACAGCAGCTGGCAATGAATTATTGGGTCAATCTACAAGGACATGGGGTGTCTCATCCTGCGAAAGGGATTTTAAAGGCATGCTGGGAACATGAGCAAAGACAGAACACAAGCTTTGGGTGGGTGGGTAATACCCAGGCGAAGGAGATGGGTCTGTATGGAAGGGAGTTTAGTCCAAGGGTAGCTATTACTGTAAATCCACCATGGCTACTCCCGCCTCCAGTAGTTGATCTAGAAGTGTTGGAGAGACTACAGACAGATAGGGAGAGTGTTGATCCATCTGATTTGTTTAAGAGACGTCTGGATACTGTGTATCAGGATTTTGTGGCCATTTACACAGATGGTTCAAAAGATCCAAGGACAGGACGTACTGGGTCAGCATTTGTAGTGCAGGAATGTGGGGTGGAAGTCAGGAAATTATTACAGATCATCTGGCTGTATATACAGCGGAGCTGATGTCCATACTGTTGGCCTTGCAGTGGGTGGAGGAAGTCAAACCAGACAGAGTAGTTATTTGCTCTGATTCATGTACAGTGTTAATGAGTCTCCAGTCCTTTAGCTCACGTAGAAGACAATACCTGCTTTATGAGGTGCTACAAACCCATGGCAGGATTAGACAGATGGGTATACAAAAAATATTTACTTGGGTCCCAGCCCATGTGGGGGTGGAGGGGAACGAGGCAGTTGATGTACTGGCTAAACAAGCCCTTAGTAGTGGGGATGTTGATGTTGTAGTTTCAATGAGCAAGGCAGAGGCAAAAAGTCTGATATATACAGTGATGGTGCAGAGATGGCAGAAGCAGTGGAATAGAGATCATAAGGGCAGACATGTATTTGAAGTACAGAGGAAAGTCAGGGAGGGGAGGACGGCAGGAAGGGACAGAAGAGAGGAGGCTATTTTTACAAGATTAAGGGTGGGACACAGCCAGTTAAATATGACATTAAATGTGATAGGAAAGCATCCAACAGGAAAGTGTGATTATTGCCAGGAAACAGAGACTGTGGAGCATGTATTGCTACAGTGTGGGCAGTATCAGAGGGAAAGAGAGAGGATGAGATCTAGTATGAGGGAGAAGGGGATACAGGAAATTAGTTTAAAGAGTATATTGAGTAGAACGTCATTAGATATAGTCTCAAATATTTTGTTACCTTTTTTAAGAGCAACGTGGCTGGCAGGTATGGAGGACTAAAAGTGCCACAATTAAATAAATAAATACACCATTAAATAATTACTTAAATGTGTCATTAATTAATTAAAATTAGAATTAAATACATAAATGTGTTATTAAATGTGTCATTAATTAATTCAAATACCGATTCATTTTATGTAAAATACATATATAATAATTTCACTATTTACATTTACATTTCATGGTCCTGCGTTGGAGTGCTTCCTGAATTACTTAAAACTGTCAAACTGACCCATCAAAAGTTGGTAGGCGGAACCTAACGCCTGATTGGTTACCCTCTGCATCAAGCCAAGACAAATCAATTCCGGATAATGTCAGCAGGTCCTGCTTCTACATCCTCTGCTAAGTTTAAAATGTCTCTAACCAACTCCCTGGAAAGTTCACGGAGATCCTCCATTGTCTCTATCCAGGTTGGCCTACTCTACTTCAGACCAAAGCAATGGATCAGACTAGATTCGCGTTAGCCCCGCCCACTGACTTTGATGGGTCAGTTTGACAGTTTTAAGTAATTCATGAATCACTGCAATGCAGGATCATGAAATGTAAATGTAAATAGTGAAATAATTATATATGTATTTTACATAAAATGAATCGGTATTTGAATTAATTAATGATACATTTAATTACACATTTATGTATTTAATTCTAATTTTAATTAATTAATGACACATTTAAGTAATTATTTAATGGTGTATTTATTTATTTAATTGTGGCACTTTTAGTCCTCCATAGGCAGGTAGGATTTAGTTTCTCCTTCTCTGGCCCACACTCCAGTACAGTAGGTGGCGGTAATGCACCATAACGTTGGATGCCAACCGCCGATAAACCCCATTGAAGAAGAAGAAGAAGAAGAAGAAGGATGTTGTAATTAACATTTGACGTCAGATCTGCGCAACCCATCGCCAACTTCTCTCCACATGTGAGATCATGTCGAAGTCCAGTGCGTACATTTAAATGTTATTTTACTTTGATAGTTTAAACATTGGAGCTAGGTTAATGTGTAACCGTTTTTCTTGTTGTTGTTGGTTTTGCAGAACAAAAGCGAGTGAAAATACTTTCCCAAGGAAAACAAAAGGTATGTTTAGCTCTCCGGAACATCTACCTGAGATAGTTAACGTTAGCAAGTAACATGCTATTCACAGTCGGACAATTTGAAATAGACTAGTGCGCTGCAAGCCAGAATGTAGAATACAACTCAATATGAATCTCACCTGCGACGCTGGTGAGTATGGCAATACACCAGTTGGTAATAGCGGCTACTAGCTAGCCTGTTGTGACCAGTGGACACGAAACTGCCAGCCAGCTGATCTCACTTTGGCATAAACTGTACAACCTTGATGCAACTTCAGAAAACCGAGTTTTTTTTACGGAAACATAACAGTAACTATTGAACTGAGAAACATAGTTAATGAACTGAGAAGGGTCTCTGCAGTCCAATATAATAATAGGTTTTCCACTCAATGTGAAGTAGGCACATTACACATTTTGTAAACTGTAACTAAGTTAACAATACTGGCCGTATCTCATGTTTAGTTTTTATTTCAATTGGAGGGCAAAGATGGACAACTGACTGACGCTCGAGAAGGGAATATAAATTCAGAGCTGTCCATTGCAAGACATCCTAAAGAGTATGGAAAACCAGAAGAAGTCCGGAAGAAAAGGGTGATCTTGATTTAAATATATTTTTTATTACAACTGTTCATCTCTGTCATGACAATAGCGCAATTCTGGTTTGAAGTTGATTTATAGGTATTTAAAATGTTGCTTTCTTTGTCATGGTCAGCTTCAAGAGCTCCAAGAAAAGCAGAGGTTGTCAAGAGAACAGGAGCTGATGAAGAGGAGGAGTCTGGACAGTTTTCAGAGAGATATTCTTCAGCGACAAAGAGAGTTTGAGCAGAGGGTAATTTAACTAGTGTGATTATAGTCTATTTGGTGAGTCAAGGAAGACCAGCTTTCCCAATGCTGTTTTTTTTACTGAATGAGAGCTTGTCATGAGTGTTTTTGTGTTCTGTTTGCAGGAAACTGAAATGCAGTGTTTAGAGAAGCATGTCAATTTTGAAAATGAGAATTCAAGAAAGGCGTACTACAGGGAATTCAAAAAGGTACGTTTTCTTTCCGATTGTCTGAGTGCACGGTAACACTGCAGTATTGCACTTGAGTGATGATACCCATTTATTTACATTACATTTCTTTACAAGTAGAGCAGAGGGGTATACTACATACGTAGCTAGATGTACCAGGCTATTCTGAAATTAGCTAGCTTCAGTTAGTTTTACATTCCAGCTCAGGCTTCATCTGTACTACGATGGTGGCTATTGCTCGTTTTCATTTTTGCCCGAAATGACGGCAGACTGGGCGAGGTGACTGGCTTCTACCCCTGCCGTAGTTGTGCGGCATGTAGGGATTCCGGTAAAAAAAAGTGAGCGTATTCAGAAGCTCTGCCACTGGCAAACAATACACTATCACAGTTCCTCACATGCAGCTCTTCTAACATCATATACATTATCTCTTGTCCATGCAATAAGCAATACGTGGGCAAAACCAGTAGATAGATAAGAACACATATTATAGAACACAAGCGTGCTGTAAGGAGAAATTGCACATAATTTCTCAGTCTCCGCCGTGTCCTTCTGTACTATATAGCTGATAAAACATTCACATAGGGGTGGTAATCTTTAACTTAGTCTTCTCCAGACAGAATGCAGGTGGATGTTTAAAAACTCCACCCATCAGGCATGAATGAAGAATTGTTATTGAAGTGTTTACTGTAACTGGTATATTGCCTCTAATTGGTGTTCGATACCTCCATCTAGTGGTATCTCTTGCGCCCTACTCTTACGATCCTGTATTATTTATTCTGAGGAATTCTTCACATGGTATATGTAAAAGCAATAATTGATGATATTTCGCTGTCCGCTTTTGTATATTTTGTATATAATTTAGATCATGCATTCTATTGTACTAGGTACTGATTCATAGATTTACATTTTAGTCATTTAGCAGACGCTCTTATCCAGAGCGACTTACAGTTAGTGAGTGCATACATGTTTTTTTATTTTATACTGGCCCCCCATGGGAATCGAATCCACAACCCTGGCGTTGCAAGCGCTATTGCTCTACTTTCTTGCACTATGATTTTTTTGGGCACCATGATGTTTTAATAAATATGTTTATTTTGCATTCAGGCCTCCGTTTTGGATTTATTCATTTTTTTTGATAGTGTGCGGGTCTCCATCTTTTCCAGTATTTTTATTTTGAATCCTATGCACCTGGAACAGACATTATTCAGTAGTAAGGACCTTAAAAGAGCGCAGATGGCCTCTTATCATTTTTGCCGAAATCAACATGAAAGAAAAGTTATCTTGCAAATTCAGCTGCTATGGTGTGGAATAGGTTGCTAGAAGTGCCGTCTTTCTTTTATTATGTATCTTTAATGCAGTCTTTGGTGTGCTTATCAATACATGCTTATCAATGCACACTGCATATTCCTATTGATAAAATAATTGTATAACGTCATAGAAAAGTTTGACTGTGCGTGAACTTTGAAATGCATCCTGTCATTACAAAAAATGTAATGTGATAGGTATTTTAATGACTATTTTTAAACACATTTGATTAATAAATATTTAATCGGTCGTATTCCTCAAATGAAGGGGACGATGCAATGTTTGCGAAAGGGAGGAATCCCATTGAATTGGTCCTCAACTCACGGCTCATAAACTTCATTCAGGGTAAATGGAGTTAGCCGGTTAGTTGTGAAGCATTCGGTGCCATGGAAATGTACCTGGCTAAAAGGTGAGCCACTTTTGTGGTACCCGTTATCCCGAGTTGAACTCAGTTGACCAAAGTTACCTCTAACTCCTCAAACCAGGTACATAATATACCCCTCTGGTCTGCTGGAGAAGGGTACCTGTATGTAGTGCTTGTAATAATGTGTTGTATTCCCTGTTCTGTATAAAAGGTGGTTGAGGCCTCTGATGTGGTTCTGGAGGTTCTGGATGCCCGTGACCCTCTTGGCTGCCGTTGTCCTCAGGTGGAGCAGGCTGTCATTCAGAGTGGCGCTGACAAGAAAATTGTTCTAGTGCTTAACAAGATTGGTGAGTGATTAAAAGAGATTAATGAATATGCATGGCTTTATACATTAGAAAGCCTTGGTGCCAGATATCTGTAATTGACAGACATGGCTTTCCACTATACTCTTAGACCTGGTGTCCAAGGAGATTGTTGAGAAATGGATCAAGTATCTTCGCAATGAATTTCCCACTGTGGCTTTCAAAGCCTCAACCCAGCAACAGAACAAGAATTTGGTGAGTCAGACAATTCAGAACATCATATGTAGAACATGCTCAGCATCACTTACTGAAATAAATTGTGCCATTCAAGTTTCATACAATATTTCTGGTTTTACTATTAAGCAATAATGCCCACTGTACTAGATGCTAACTGAATACACTTTGTTCAGGTAGCATCTAGTAACTATACTTATGTGTTTTCCATTTGCAGAAGCGAAGCAATGTACCAGTGAACCAGGCCACCGCTGAGCTCCTGGGTAGCAGTGCCTGTGTGGGCGCGGAATGCCTGATGAAACTTTTGGGGAACTACTGCCGCAACCTAGACATTAAGACGGCCATCACTGTTGGTGTGGTGGGTGGGTACAGCATACATTTTTGTCATTCCCAACTTTTCAAACTGGCAAAGGTTGCAAAAATATTTTTTAAAATCTTTTTCAGGCTTTCCCAATGTTGGAAAGAGCAGTCTGATAAACAGTTTGAAGCGGGCACGTGCATGCAATGTTGGAGCCACACCTGGCGTAACCAAGTAAGTACAGAGCTTGTGCCTTTATTTATGTCTAGGCCTACATGTTCGTTCCTTGCTTGTCTGACCTGTATGATGGCTTTTAGGTGCCTTCAGGAAATACACTTGGACAAGCACATCAAACTTTTAGATTGTCCTGGCATTGTCATGGCAACCTCGACGACTGACGCAGCCATGATCCTTCGGAATTGTGTAAAGATTGAGCAGCTTGTAGACCCTCTACCTCCAGTCGAAGCCATCTTAAGACGCTGCAATAAGACACAGGTATCCAAATAATCTTTAACGGCATATTAACTGCAAAGCAGTGACATATTTTTACGTCCGTGTTGTCATAGTCTTTCATTTTGTTTTCCATAGATCATGGAACACTATGGTGTTACTGACTTCCACACAGCTCTAGAGTTCCTGGCTTTGTTGGCACGGCGACAGGGCAAGTTGAGGAAGGGAGGTGTGCCTGATAATGACAAGGCGGCAAAGAGTGTCCTAATGGACTGGACAGGGTGGGTTCAAACTGCAAAAACATTTGAATACGTCTGAGGTTCTCAAAGCAACACCATCCCTTCCTAATAAAGTCACATCACTGGGGCCAAGCTACCTGCCATCCAGGACCTCTATACCAGGCGGTGTCAGAGGAAGGCCCTAAAAATTGTCGAAGACTCCAGCCACCCTAGTCATAGACTGTTCTCTCTGCTGCCTCACGGCAAGCGGTACCAGAGCGCCAAGTCTAGATCCAAAAGGCTTCTTAACAGCTTCTACAGTGAGGGAAAAAAGTACTTGATCCCCTGCTGATTTTGTACGTTTGCCCACTGACAAAGAAATGATCTGTCTATAATTTTAATGGTAGGTTTATTTGAACAGTGAGAGACAGAATAACAACAAAAAAATCCAGAAAAACGCCAAAAATGTTATAAATAGATTTGCATTTTAATGAGGGAAATAAGTATTTGACCCCCTCTCAATCAGAAAGTTTTCTGGCTACCAGGTGTCTTTTTATACAGGTAACGAGCTGATATTAGGAGCACACTCTTAAAGGGAGAAACACAAAATAACTGTCAGTCTCCCTCGGCCTGGGGCTCCATGCAAGATCTCATCTCGTGGAGTTGCAATGATCATGAGAACGGTGAGGAATCAGCCCAGAACTACACGGGAGGATCTTGTCAATGATCTCAAGGCAGCTGGGACCATAGTCACCAAGAAAACAATTGGTAACACACTATGCCGTGAAGGACTGAAATCCTGCAGCGTCCGCAAGGTCCCCCTGCTCAAGAAAGCACATATACATGCCCGTCTGAAGTTTGGCAATTAACATCTGAATGATTCAGAGGAGAACTGGGTGAAAGTGTTGTGGTCAGATGAGACCAAAATTGAGCTCTTTGGCATCAACTCAACTCGCCGTGTTTGGAGGAGGAGGAATGCTCCCTATGACCCCAAGAACACCATCCCCACTGTCAAACATGGAGGTGGAAACATTATGCTTTGGGGGTGTTTTTCTGCTAAGGGGACAGGACAACTTCACCGCATCAAAGAGACGATGGACGGGGCCATGTACCATCAAATCATGGGTGAGAACCTCCTTCCCTCAGCCAGGGCATTGAAGATGGGTCGTGGATGGGTATTCCAGCATGACAATGACCCAAAACACACGGCCAAGGCAACAAAGGAGTGGCTCAAGAAGAAGCACATTAAGGTCCTGGAGTGGCCTAGCCAGTCTCCAGACCTTAATCCCATAGAAAATCTGTGGAGGGAGCTGAAGGTTTGAGTTGCCAAACGTCAGCCTCGAAACCTTAATGACTTGGAGAAGATCTGCAAAGAGGAGTGGGACAAAATCCCTCCTGAGATATGTGCAAACCTGGTGGCCAACTACAAGAAACGTCTGACCTCTGTGATTGCCAACAAGGGTTTTGCCACCAAGTACTAAGTCATGTTTTGCAGAGGGGTCAAATACTTATTTCCCTCATTAAAATGCAAATCAATTTATAACATTTTTGACATGCGTTTTTCTGGAATTTTGTTGTTGTTATTCTCTCACTGTTCAAATAAACCTACCATTAAAATTATAGACTGATCATTTCTTTGTCAGTTGGCAAACGTACAAAATCGGCAGGGAATCAAATACTTTTTTCCCTCACTACCCCCAAGCCATAATACTCCTGAACAGCTAATCATGGCTACCCGGACTATTTGCATTGACTCTGTACCGGTACCCCCTGTATATAGCCTCCCTACTGATATTTTCTACTTATCTCTTTTTTTACTTAACACTTTATTTTCTTCTTAAAACTGCATTGTTGGTTAAGGGCTTGTAAGTAACCATTTCACTGTAAGGTCTACACCCGTTGTATTTGGCTCATGTGGCAAATTTGATTTGACATTATTCTGTTTAATTTACGGTCTTGTAGGGGTAGGATCAGCTACTTTACACACCCCCCGGAGACGCACACTCTTCCCACTCATGTCTGTGCTGAGATTGTGGCAGAGATGGGCAAAGCTTTTGACTGGGAGGAACTGGAGAGGGGAAACCAGGAAGTGCTAGCTGGTAGGATGCGCATGCATTTTATACTTACCTAGTAATTGAAAAGTTGTATTAGGAACAAAACGTATGTGCTAAAAGTTTGTTTCTCTTGTAGTGTCTTCTTGCCCTGATGTCCAAATGGGTTTCTGCATGGCAACCTCTGGGATGACTCAGGGTGATCAAGAAGACCCACCTTGTGACCTGGAAATGGAAGGTGGAGCTTTGTATGAGGTTGAGTCCAAGGATGAAACGGAATCCATGGATGATTATCAGGACCCTGAGGTATTGCAGTGCTTTTACTTACTACAGGAACTTATCTTGTGAACTCCCCATTTTTTTATGCCTACTGAACTAGGGCTGACCTAATTTAGTCGACTGGTCGATTGTTTGGTCGATAGGCTGTTGGTCGACCAAGATTTCTTTAGTCGAGCAGTAGCAACAACAATTTTTTTTTTATTGATAGATAGATATATACAGTACCAGTCAAAAGTTTGGACACACCTACTAATTCCAGGGTTTTTCTTTATTTTTACTATTTTCTACATTGTAGAATAATAATAAAGACATCAAAACTATGAAATATCACATGGAATCATGTAGGAACCAAAAAAGTGCTAAACAAATCAAAATATCTTATATTTGAGATTCTTCAAATAGCCACCCTTTGCCTTGATGACAGCTTTGCACACTCTTGGCATTCTCTCAACCAGCTTCACCTGGAATGCTTTTCCAACAGTCTTGAAGGAGTTCCCACATATGCTGAGCACTTGTTGGCTGCTTTTCCTTCATTCTGCCGTCCGACTCATCCCAAACCATCTCAATTGGGTTGAGGTCAGGGGATTGTGGAGGCCAGGTCATCTGATGCAGCACTCCATCACTCTGGTAAAATAGCCCATACACAGCCTGGAGGTGTTGGGTTATTGTCCTGTTGAAAATCAAATGATAGTCCCACTAAGCCCAAACCAGATGGGATGGCGTATTGCTGCAGAATGCTGTGGTAGCCATGCTGGTTAAGTGTGCCTTGAATTCTAAATAAATCACAGACAGTGTCACCAGCAAAGCACCACCACACCATAACACCAGCTCCTCCATGCTTTACAGTGGGAAATACACATGTGGAGATCATCCGTTCACCCACACCGCATCTCACAAAGACTGCATCCATAATGCAATGTGATTTTAGTCCCGTCTTCTGATAATACTAGTCCTGTGCGAGTCGACGTCCCTGTGTTTTGAGAGTGAGTTTGACAGGTGTCGCTCGCGATTTGTGCAAGAAAACTATAACTTATTCGCTGCGCATAAGATAGGCTATATGTAGGCCATTTATATGTCAACTTTCACAGTGAATGCTTTTGAGCCTATTAATGCAACCCTTGCTGTTAAGATTGCAAAGCAGCATACAACTGAAATAATGGAAATTCAAATAATATGGCGACACTATACCAAAGATGGTTTGGTATGGTTTAGAAACTTGGGAACCAAGCTCGAGTTATCAGTGTGGCCCTATCACCTTCACATGTTGAAATACTGTATCTTCACGCCTAGAATAAAAACCTCCAGGCTTCTATCATTACTACATTTATAAAAAATAAAGAATTACGGAATCAGTTTGGGAAAAAAACAAATCCCGTCCGAATCGTCCTCTGGAATAACCAACGTTCTCTAGTAATAATAGTCCCGTGCAAATAGGTATTTGGTCACGCGTATGCGATGCATACTGTACATGTGTCACGTTGAGGGAATAGTGCGGGATTTCGGTAATGAAACTTTTCAGTCAAAAATGGCTGAAATGTATGTATGTTGCAGCTTCAGAAACAGGGACAGCGTGATAAACACTGATGTTCTGTGGTGGTCGCTGCAGTAGGGAGGCGAGAGAGACAACGGGTGCTAGTCACAGTCACTCGCTGTCTTTGTCTATTTTTTCTTTTGTTTTTTCACAGCGCAGAAAGTCTGAGCCCGGCCTGGCACAATCAAATCAATGGCTGGTCGGACTCCCTCTAGTCCTTTGTGTGTCTTAATTATTTAATCAAACAGTGTGCTTAAAGCATCAGACAAGCTCAGTGAATATAGTTGATTAGATTAAAACACACAGGATGTGTCAATATATATGGAAAAATACACGTTTTAAAATTTCAACAGGTGGAGACATTACCGTGAAATGCTTACTTACAGCCCTTAACCAACAATGCATTTATTTCTTAATAAAAAAGTAAAATAAAACAACAACAAAAAAGTGTTGAGAAAAAAAGAGCAGAAGTAAGATAAAATAACAATAGAGAGGCTATATACAGGGGGGTACCGGTGCAGAGTCAATGTGGGGGGGCACCGGCTAGTTGAGGTACTATGTACATGTGGGTAGAGTTAAAGTGTATGCATAAATAGTTAACAGAGTAGCAGCAGCGTAAAAAGATGGGGTGGGGGTGCAAATAGTCCGGGTAGCCATGATTAGCTGTTCAGGAGTCTTATGGCTTGGGGGTAGAAGCTGTTGAGAAGCCTTTTGGACCTAGACTTGGCGCTCCGGTACCGCTTGCCGTGCGGTAGCAGAGAGAACAGTCTATGACTAGGGTGGATGGAGTCTTTGACAATTTTGAGTTCCTTCCTCTGACACCGCCTGGTATAGAGGTCCTGGATGGCAGGAAGCTTGGCCCCAGTGATGTACTGGGCCGTACACACTACCCTCTGTAGTGCCCTGTGGTCGGAGGCCGAGCAGTTGCCATACCAGGCGGTGACGCAACCAGTCAGGATGCTCTCGATGGTGCAGCTGTAGAATGTTTTGAGGAGCTGAGGACCCATGCCAAATCTTTTCAGTCTCCTGAGGGGGAATAGGCTTTGTCGTGCCCTCTTCACGACTGTCTTGGTGTGTTTGGACCATGATAGTTCGTTGGTGATGTGGACAACAAGGAACTTGAATCTCTCAACCTGTTCCACTACAGCCCCGTCGATGAGAATGGGGGCATGCTCAGTCCTCTTTTTTTCCCTGTAGTCCACAATCATCTCCTTTGTCTTGGTCACGTTGAGGGAGAGGTTGTTATCCTGGTACCACACGGCCAGGTCTCTGACCTCCTCCCTATAGGCTGTCTCATCGTTGTCGGTGATCAGGCCTACCACTGTTGTGTCGTCGGCAAACTTAATGATGGTGTTGGAATCGTGCCTGGCCATGCAGTCATGGGTGAACAGGGAGTACAGGAGGGGACTGAGCACGCACCCCTGAGGGGCCCCCGTGTTGAGGATCAGCGTGGCAGATGTGTTGTTACCTACCCTTACCACCTGGGGGTGGCCCGTCAGGAAGTCCAGGATCCAGTTGCAGAGGGAGGTATTTAGTCCCAGGATCCTTAGCTTAGTGATGAGCTTTGAGGGCACTATGGTGTTGAACGGTGAGCTGTAGTCAATGAATAGCATTCTCACGTAGGTGTTCCTCTTGTCCAGGTGGGAAAGGGCAGTGTGGAGTGCAATAGAGATTGCATCATCTGTGGATCTGTTGGGGCGGTATGCAAATTGGAGTGGGTCTAGGGTTTCTCGGATAATGGTGTTGATGTGAGCCATGACCAGCCTTTCAAAGCACTTTTTAAATTTTTACATTTTTAGTCATTTAGCAGACGCTCTTATCCAGAGCGACTTACAGTTAGTGAGTGCATACATTATTTTATTTTTTTCATACTGGCCCCCCGTGGGAATCGAACCCACATCCCTGGCGTTGCAAACGCCATGCTCTACCAACTGAGCTACAGTTGGCTACAGACGTCAGTGCTACTGGTCGGTAGTAATTTAGGCAGGTTATCTTAGTGTCCTTGGGCACAGGGACTATGGTGGTCTGCTTGCCATACCAAACCAGCACATGGTCGGAGTACACGTCCTGGTAATCCGTCTGGCCCTGCGGCCTTGTGAATGTTGACCTGCTTAAAAGTCTTACTCACATCGGCTATGGAGAGTGTGATCACATAGTCATCCGGAACAGCTGGTGCTCTCATGCATGCTTCAGTGTTGCTTGCCTCGAAGCGAGCATAGAAGTGGTTTAGCTCGTATGGTAGGCTTGTGTCACTGGGCAGCTCGCGGCTGTGCTTCCCTTTTGTAGTCTGTAATAGTTTTCAAGCCCTGCCACATCCGACGAGCGTCATAGCCGGTGTAGTACGATTCAATCTTAGTCCTGTATTGACTCTTTGCCTGTTTGATGGTTCGTCGGAGGGCATAGCGGGATTTCTTATAAGTGTCCGGGTTAGAGTCCCGCTCCTTGAAAGCGGCAGCTCTACCCTTTAGCTCAGTGTGGATGTTGCCTGTAATCCATGGCTTCTGGTTGGGATATGTACGTACGGTCACTGTGGGGACGACGTCATCGACGCACTTATTGATGAAGCCAGTGACTGATGTGGTGTACTCCTCAATGCTATCTGAAGAATCCCGGAACATGTTCGTCTGTGCTAGCAAAATAGTCCTGTAGCTTAGCATCTGCGTCATCTGGCCACTTTTTTATTAACCAAGTCACTGGTGCTTCCTGCTTTAGTTTTTGCTTATAAGCAGGAATCAGGAGGATAGAGTTATGGTCAGATTTGCCAAATTGAGGGCGAGGGAGAGCTTTGTATGCGTCTCTGTGTGAAGTAAAGGTGGTCTAGAGTTTTTTTTCCTCTGGTTGCACATTTAACATTCTGGTAGAAATTAGGTAGAATGGATTTAAGTTTCCCTTCATTAAAGTCCCCGGCCACTAGGAGTGCTGCCTCTGGATGAGCGTTTTCCTGTTTAGTTATGGCCTTGTGACGCTTGGTCACAAGATGTATTTTTTGTCGGGGACAGCCCTAAACTGAACACAACCCAGATGACCATGTATTGTTTCATTTTTACAGTAGTATTATGACTTGGGCTGGGGCCCACTTCAAAGTCCTTTGATGAATTGAATCGTATTATAAACTGGATGATTCGAGCCCTGAATGCTTATTGGCTGAAAGCTGTGGTATATGAGACCGTATACCACGGGTATGACAAATCTATTTTTACTGTTCGAATTACATTTGTAACCAGTTTATAATAGCAATAAGGCACCTTGGGAGTTTGTTATGGCCAATATACCACGGCTAAGGGCTGTATCCTAAGAACAGCCCTTAGCCATGGTATATTGGCCATATACCACACCCCCTCTGGCCTTAGTGGTTAAATATATCTTTGTCTCTTTCACACAAGTTTGGATCTATGACTGTGGAGATAAAAGCGCAAAGGGCAAAGACTGGTGGTTCAGCTGATGCTGCTGCCCCCAAGGCTGTGGATTTAAAGGATATCTTGAATGTAGACCCTCTTCAGCAGGGCCAAGCACTCATGGCTGCTGGGAAGAAAAGGAAGAAACAACAGAAAAGAGCTGGTATGTCTTATGTTCTAACACTAACATTTTGTTGGGTAAATCATTGGTTTGTAGATCACTTGACAATCCTATTTTGTTACTTTGAGGTTAACTTGGATATGTTTATTTTTATTACTACTGTAATTGATAGGTTTATCCAATTTCTCATTTTTATTTTCAGACAGAATTGCTACCAAACTCTCAGACAGCCTGACTACAGCAATGAACTTCGCATTTTCAGATGGATGAAAAATAAAAGGTAATCTAAGACGAGGTGTTTTTTTATTATATATCTGTTCAGTCGATATTGTCATAACCCTACTCACAACATCCCCTAGTGGTAGCATGCCGTTCAATTCAGTATAAACATTTACATATCAAGACTTGAGTTCAGATAATGAAGACTTGTTGGTATATCAAAGGCAGAAATCACAGTAGCCATGTGAACTCAAACCTCACCGGCATATCTAAAGCTTGTGTCTTGAGGTCATGCGTACAGTATATATGGTCCTAATATTTTTGACCAACCTTTTACTTGCCGATACTTTCTTCATTCTTGATTTGGAAGGAACCTATGTCATATGAACTCCTGTTTCTTGCAGGTGGAACTTGGATAAATTACAGGCTAAGACCGGACAGAGAGAGAGGCCTATGCATTAATCTTATATTTCTCCAATGCCAAATCAGGAAGAGCGGCCACATTTTTTCTTGTCACCGTGGTCCCGGTTCCATTGATTTCATTACAAATATTGATGTGATTAATTTGCGCATCCTATTGATTGCAGTAGAACAAGCTAATCAATTCCAGTCTTGAGTGACCACCTGTTAAATATTGGTGCGTGAGCAGTTTACGTCTACATAAGAAGACCCCCCTAAGGCGCGACCACGCCTTCGAGGAGTCGCCACACAACACAGGATGCAGTTAGCAAACCTTAGAGCTGGGAAGGACCTGAGCTTTCCCTATTGTTGTCAGTCTTTGTGGCCCACAGGTAGTACTGAACCTACAGAGTACTCAAATGTTGAAACAAAAGGGCCTACAACCAACTGTAAATAAGGGAAGTTTGTTTGGAAAACAAACTTGTGAGAAACCATATTAGAGTGTTTATTTTACTTTTGGAATGGTTTTAGATATATACACTCCAAATTTGCATACCTACATGAGGGTAGATATCCAGGAAGACGTATGGACTACCCTGGTGTAAAGTTTATCAAGTCATTCCGATTACACAGATCAGGTAACTTTAAAGGTTTATTGTGAGAAACAAGAATACAAGGTAATCTCTGTAACCTTCTCAAACAAAAGCACAGTGTAAGGAAAACATTCTAGTATAGTACTGAACTAATATCACCCAGACAATGGAAAAAATAACCAACTAGTTATCACCAAATTGAATATTTGTCCTAATTGGGAACCAAATTAAGAATTAAAGTGAAGTCATGGAATGTGTTCAACTGTTATATAAACATACTTGGTAATGAATAAATAGAAGTGAAATGGTAGCAGTTGTGTGTTGTAAGATGCAGGAGTTTTTGGATTAAAGTATTTAGCAGTCTGAATTTGGAGCGGTCGCCATGGTACTGCTGGACTGTAAATGGTAGAACAGTTGTCCATGTTATAGGCTTTGATGGCGCTGCCTCCTTCCATCCTGCTCACTCATCTGTCCGGGCCCTGACCACCAGCACTTCCTCTCAAGGTAAGTGGCCATCTCCAGGCAATTCAGGCTGGTGCACTTGGGTGCTGTCCTCAGTCTGGGGATGTCTGGAGTTCTTGGGATGGCCTTACGCAAGTCCATGATCATTCCAAGTAGGTGGGACAACACCTGCTCCAGTACCTCTCCCTTTTCATCAAAAGACAGCTCATTACATTTAGCCTGTAATGATAAGAACAAAGCAACAGTACATTTCAGAATGCAGTGTAGTATGATTTGAATGTTGTGAAACGGGTGAACAGAACCAAATGTGAAAGATTCACTAACCAGTTCGAAAGGTCTTCCTCTCCAATTCTTTCCACGGCAGATGAGGACTGTGCTCTTAAACTGGAATCCTACAGAAAAAATACATGTAAACCAAACTGTTAGGAATGTCCTGTGTTGTAATGTTCAGTAGTCCTACATGGTCTATTATGGAGCTATAGGCCCAACTGATAATCAAATCAAATCAAATTTTATTGGTCACACGCGCCGAATACAACAGGTGCAGACATTACAGTGAAATGCTTACTTACAGCCCTTAACCAACAGTGCATTTATTTTAAACAAAAAAGTAAGAATAAAACAACAACAAAAAAGTGTTGAGAAAAAAAGAGCAGAAGTAAAATAAAGTGACAGTAGGGAGGCTATATATACAGTAAAATAAAGTGACAGTAGGGAGGCTATATATACAGGGGGGTACTGTTGCATAGTCAATGTGCGGGGGCACCGGCTAGTTGAGGTAGTTGAGGTAATATGTACATGTGGGTAGAGTTAAAGTGACTATGCATAAATACTTAACAGAGTAGCAGCAGCGTAAAAAGGATGGGGTGGGGGGGGCAGTGCAAATAGTCCGGGTAGCCATGATTAGCTGTTCAGGAGTCTTATGGCTTGGGGGTAGAAGCTGTTGAGAAGTCTTTTGGACCTAGACTTGGCACTCCGGTACCGCTTGCCGTGCGGTAGCAGAGAGAACAGTCTATGACTAGGGTGGCTGGAGTCTTTGACAATTTTGAGGGCCTTCCTCTGACACCGCCTGGTATAGAGGTCCTGGATGGCAGGGAGCTTTGCCCCAGTGATGTACTGGGCCGTACGCACTACCCTCTGTAGTGCCTTGCGGTCAGAGGCCAAGCAGTTGCCATACCAATGATTTATGCAAAAGGCACAAGTATCGCACTTCCACAATCAATAGATATCTTGATAACCAATGTATTTAGCCAAGCACTTTCGATTTGGCTGCTGGGGGGCAATGAGACCCCAGCTCTGCTAAAACCATTGACAGAACTGTGAGGGTAGCCTATCCATTTGGCATTTAGCTAGCCAGCTAAGGAAACAAGTCATTTAGCTTGCTTCAGCAGAGATTGACATCAGCAAATCCTCATCCTAGTGAAGTTGTCAGTCGGACTACTGTCATCACCACTATAGATGGCAAGCAAATCAAACAATACGCTATATATACAAAAGTATGTGGACACCCCTTCAAATGATTGGATTCTGCTATTTCAGCCACATAAAATCAAGCACACAGCCATGCAATCGCCATAGACAAACATTGGCAGTAGAATGGCCTTACTGAAGAGCTCAGTGAATTTCAACGTGGCACCGTCATACACTACATGACCAAAAGTATGTGGACAACTGCTCGTCAAACATCTCATTCCAAAATCATGGACATTAATATGGAGTTGGTCTCCCCCCTTTGCTCCTATAACAGCCTCCACTCTTCTGGGAATGCTTTCCCACTAGATGTTGGAACATTGCTGCGGGGACTTGCCTCCATTCAGCCACAAGAGCATTAGTGAGGTCTGGCACTGATGTTGGGCGATTAGGCCTGGCTCGCAGTCTGCGTTCCAATTCATCCCAAAGGTGTTCGATGGGGTTGAGGTCAGGGCTTTGTGCAGGCCAGTCAAGTTCTTTCACACTGAGCTTTGTGCAGAGGGGCATTGTCATGCTGAAACAGGAAAGGTCCTTCCCCAAACTTGCCACATTTGGAAGCACGGAATCGTCTAGAATGTCATTGTATATATGCTGTAGTATTAAAGATTTCCTTTCACTGAAACTAAATTCCTCCTCCACCCAACTTTACAGTTGGCACTATGCATTGGGGCAGGTAGCGTTCTCCTGGCATCCGCCAAACCCAGATTTGTCAGTTGGACTCCCAGATGGTGAGGTGTGATTAATCACTCCAGAGAACGTGTTTCCACTGCTCCAGAGTCCAAAGGCAGCGAGCTTTACACCACTCCAGCCGACAGTTGGCATTGCGCATGGTGATCTTAGGCTTCTGTGCGGCTGCTCGGCCATTTCAAGAAGCTCCTGACTAACAGGTATTGTGTGGCCTACCACTTCGCGGCTGAGCTGTTGTTGCTCCTAGACGTTTCAACTTCACAATAACAGCACTTACAGTTGACTGGAGCAGCTCTAGCAGGGCAGACATTTCACGAACTGACTTATTGGAAAGGTGGCATCCTAGACTATATTAAACTGATGGATTTGTCGATGTTCAACTTCAATTTACTGGCACTATGAAGAATAGCTTAACCATACTCATTGATAGCCTATTATATACTTTAGGTGAATGTACGAGACATTGCTAGATACAGACTACCAAGATTTAGTTTATGCGCACGGTTCTGACTGTCTGCCTGGCCCGATCCCCTCTCCCTCGCCTGCTCCTCTTTTTCTTCTCAATGAAAAACGCTAGTGTGTCTTCGGTCTGTTACGTGAAGAATAGCTCAGCCTACTCATTGATAGCCCCTACTTTAGTGCAGTTGCACGAGACATTGTATGCCAAGAAATTGCGAAATACAGCATTGCTATATTCTACATATTTTGATTACCGATGCACAGTTCTAACAGTCTGCCTAGTGGCCGACATGCCTGGCTGTGCCCCCCCCCCCCCATCTCGCTAGATCGCTCTGTTTTTGCTGTGAAAAACGCGAGATTTGAAATTCTCGAAGGAGACTATATTCCCTCAGATTACAGAGATCCACAAAGAATTCGAAAACAAACCCAATTTTGATAAACTCCCTTATCTACTGGGTGAAAAACCACAGTGTGCCATCACAGCAGCAATATGTGTGACTTGTTGCCACAAGAAAAGGGCAACCAGTAAAGAACATTTACGTCATTTAGCAGACGCTCTTATCCAGAGCGATTCACAGTTAGTGAGTGCATACATTTTTATTATTTTTTCATTATTATTTTTTCATACTGGCCCCCGTGGGAATCGAACCCACAACCCTGGCATTGCAAACGCCATGCTCTACCAACTGAGATACATCCCTGCCGGCCATTCCCTCCCCTACCCTGGACGGCGCTGGGCCAATTGTGCGTCGCCCCACGGGTCTCCCGGTCGCGGCCGGCTACGGACAATTCCTTTGACCTCATGGTCTTAGACCACTGCGCCACTCGAACAAACACCATTGTAAGTACAATCCATATTTATTTATTTTCCCATTTGTACTTTAACTATTTGCCCATTGTTACAACACTGTATATATACATAACATGACATTTGAAATGTCTTTATTCTTTTGGAACTTTTGTGAGTGAAATGTTTACTGTTTAATATTTGTTTATTTCTCTTTTGTTTACTATCTACTTCACTTGCTTTGGCAATGTTAACATACGTTTCCCATGCCAATAAAACCCTTCAATTGAAATTGAATTGACTATGGAAAATAGTTTCCTCCGTTGCAAAAATACTGAATCTTAGGAGTCGATTGAAGCGTGAAACCCAGAAATGGGAGTAGACGGGCAAGGAGTCGAGGAATCGATTATTTTGGAGTGAACTCCCCACCACTATTAGTTGCTGGCATACGGGCTCGTGCAGAAGCAATGCTTGAACTCCGTTGTTTCTAGTTTTTTTTTTGTATTCCGCAATTAGCACGTTTATTAGTTAGATACTGTGTCTAGCTCGCCAGAATTCTACATTTCACGCTAAATGCAGACATGACCGGGAAGACGAATTGTCCAGTTAGTTATTTTGACTACTTCCTGCTGCCCCCCCCCCACCCCCCCCCTAAAAAAACTTCCTGCTAACGTTGGCTACTGCTGCTCTCACACAGGTGGCTCGTACTCTGAAATAGTTGAACTAAAGTAAAGGTATGTTTTTGTCTTCTTTATAAAAGCGTTGAAGTGGTAACCCAATTGTGTTATAGTGGCCACACTGACCAACTTGTCTTGTTTGTTGTCCAACACTTTGGAAGCGTAGCTGTTTTCTCCGTAACGTTAGCAGCTAGCTAATTTAGCTAACTAGCTAGTATGTCCACACATTATTTTTTACATAACAGTCGTCATTATTGTGTAACTTTAGCTAACTAACGTCGTTATGACCTAGCTATCCACTGCCTGTCATGGAAAATGCGTAAACAAACAGTGAAATGTACAGGCTTTAATCTGGTTAACAGTTAGGGTGAATTCAATTCAGTCAATGCAAGTGCTTTCCAATACAGATCGTTATTCTTGAACTGGACTCAACATGCTGGTAAACAGCAGAGAGGAAGCGAGAGGCCCAACTCGTCGGAGAATCTGTCTCCCTCCAGCAGGTGGCGTTTTTCCGTTGTTTCGCCCACCAAGGAAGTTGTTTTTGTATGGAGGTCAAAGAGTGTCCAATTTGGTCAACAAAAAAATGAATGGCTTATTTGCTACGTGTGGTTTATTTGGTCGAATAGAAGTTTCGTAATGTTTAAGTTGTTACGAGTGTACTGATATAAGTAAGACACATGAAATTCGGCAACTTTGAGAAAAACACTTATATCGGAGTTGTCTCGAGATGGCTATTCATATTGATGTCATGAGGATAGTGCCATATGGTACAGATTATTTTATGGGACAATATACAAACGTTTTGAGAGAGATCATTTGAAAAATACAGTTTTATTGAGTAAATGTATTAATTGGTTTCTTTTCATTTTGATAAGTGACGAAAATGTAATTAATTTAACGTTATTTGTTGATGTTGTGTCATTAGATGTGGGGTGGGGTTGTGCGAAATTCTTATGGAAAAAATGCTGTCCCCAGAAATTCTGACTGGAAAAAATGGGGTCCCCGCTGAAAAAGTTTGAATACCACTGCTCTGGGTGCATGTATCTGGAGCCAAAAGGGGTAGACTGAAGTAAAGCCCATAAATTCAGTCATTGGTCAGAAAGAGCTAGAGTATGCCCACTTACCATATGAGACCCTGCACCAATGACTGCATGCCCTACACAGAGGGGTAGTTATACCACAAAGCAGGATCAATGAAAGGAGCCCAGCAAGTGAGAATGTTGAACAAAATCCCATTTCAACTTATTCTGCTGGTTCATCTGGGTGTTGGAAATATAATCTTGTTCAGTAGTCTGACTTCCAGGGCTTGTTATCTGAGGATGAGGTAGGCCTATACAGCCAGGCCATATAAAAGCCAGAGCATATTGTACATGTATATATTCTTCCCTCTCTTTTCCCTGGCCTGTTTGATTGTAGGCGTACAACCCAACTGAGCCATGTCATCACGCGTGCTGCTTCGGCAGCAGCTGATGCGGGAACAAGCCCAGGAACAAGAGAGACGGGAGGCCCAGCAGCAGGCCTCTGTGGCTCAGCTCAGGGCAACTGACTCCACCCCTGCCATCTCTGTCACTCTGCCCCCAATGGCTGCTCGCCCTCCGCCCACACAGGTGCCCGTGGAGGTGTTGAAGGTGAGACTCCACTTCTAAAGGCTTCTCTCCAGAGGAACTACACTAGCATGGCATGCCGCATCATGAAATGGCAGCTTATAACCTCCATACTAAATTGGCATGTTACAAGCTGCATTCTTAGTTGGCTGTTTGACTGACGTTCTTTATTTAAATCTGTTAGGTGCAGACCCATCTGGAGAACCCCACCAAGTATCACATCCAGCAGTCTCAGAGGCAGCAGGTGAAGCAGTATCTCTCCACCACCCTCGGCGATAAGGTGGCACCTCAGACCCCGGGTGTGTCTCCCTTGCCACTGTCTAGCTCTGCCCCTGAGATGGCTCCCACAGCCCTCAGTGCTCCAAACAGCTCAATGGCTTTACTCAACCTGGGATCCAACAAAGAGGAGGTATGTGGTATGACTGAAGACCTCATTACACTGCAATACACCCCTCACATTCGCTTGTTGTCTTAAGTGGGATGGTATCATGCTACAATTTGTATGGACCTACTGCCTTTTGCGGCAGGCAACAAATTAGTTACAAATATGAACTCCCACAATTTACAGACATTTTGTTTAGTCTAAATGGAATAAAGCTATGGGAAGTCCATGGATAAAGCACACAATTGAACGGCTTCTCATTGTCAATTCCCAGACATATTTTCCATGAAAGTTTAGGTTGAAGGCCTAACCTACTGGTCACTTATTTCTAATTACTTTTTGTTCTGTAATGACATGCTTGAGATGTCTCAACGAGGATGCATGACTCTTGCCATGTTGCCCTTGTTGGCTTAGTGGTACAGTCTGCTGTTAAATACTACACTGGCAGCTTAATGATATCTGCACCTCTCTTACTCACATGCCTTTGCTTTTGAAATCATTCTTCATTAGGGCAAGATAATTACTTGCTTTGTGTCAGTGTACCTCCCCTATATACATTTCAAGTAAGTAATGTAATAAAGTTAAATTCAAGCTGTCCTTTAACTTTCCACGGTAAAAAAATAAATATTTTATTAGGTGTTCTATTAATGTAAAGCTAAGTTATTCTATGCATTGATTGTGTGTGTGTGTGTATCTTTCCAGATAGATGGCGTAATTGACGACATTATCAGCCTTGAATCAAGTTTCAATGATGACTTCATGACGTTAATTGACTTGGGTCTACAGCTGCCTAGTACGGTATGTGGAAATGTGTATTTGTGCATTGCACTTGGGCTAATCCAAAAAGGGACAAGGTTAAACAAAATGTATGGATCTGTCAAATTAGTGACCATTATGCAGTGAAATTAAATTAACAAATAGCCTATCATTCTTGGAATTATCTTGCTATATCTGTTTTGTCTTGGTTTAAATTCTCAAACTGGAATTCAGTGGTGCTGTAGGAGTAAACATACACTTCTGGCACTTAACTAAGACTAGTCAGGCCAGTGTTGTGTGGGTGGGGTAGCAACAAGGGGAAATGGGAGAGGAGGACAAAGAATGCAGGGCATGGCAGTATGTGAAGTTGGAATGGTGGACAGTGCAGAGGGTTAGCAAAATATGTTTTTAAACAGTCGAGTTGCTTCAGGAACATGCAAAGAAAAGAAAGAATATTGAGGTAAATCAATCGTGGTGTTTGGTAGTACAAGACAAAGTGGCCTTGTTAAGGGGAATAGACATTTAGCAATTTCTCTCACATTTATAAGGATTTATAGCCTACCTCAACACCTGTCAGATTTGTTTCAAATTCAAATGCGTTAATGCTTTTGGAGAACTTTCCCTTAATTGAAGGTTCTACAAGGTATTAGACCTGTAATAAATTGTGATGACTTGCTTGAAATGATATTACATATAAGCCAGCCAACCTGTAATATGGTAATTTAGTATCCTTGTGTACAATCATTGAAGGTCAAATATAATACAGCGCTACAGTGTAGCCTATCTTATAAATGTTCTACTTCTATCAGGATAGTTCTTACGAGAGATGTTAGTACATACAATTGTACTTTTTTTTCTTTTCGGATTTATTGGAAATATAGGTTGTTGAATTCCCATTATCAAATCAAATTGTATTTGTCACATACACAGTTTACATCAGGTATAAAAGGTGCAGTGAAATGCCTCAACAATGCTGTACATTAGTCAATAACAATAATAACAAAGAGTCAAGTAAAAAATAACAAGTAATAGAAGTAATAAGAGAGGTAGTATGCATAGTAATAATGGACTGTATTACACTGTATTTACAAATATAAAGTGGGTAGTGACTTGATCACACAGTGGAATAAATATTATATAATAGTGGGGTGGCAGGTAGCCTAGCGGTTAAGCTCGTTGGCCCAGTAACCGAAAGGTCGCTGGTTCGAATTTCCGAGCCAACTAAGTGAAAAATCTGACTGTGCCCTTGAGCAAGGCACTTAACCCTAATTGCTCCTGTAAGTCGCTCTGGATAAGAGCGTCTGCTAAATGACTCAAATGTAACAATAGAACAGCAGCGTTGAGTGTGTGTTTGTGTGGGTAGTCAGTGCAAAAAATCTCTGAGGTGCAAATAGTCTAAGGTTCAGGGAGACCACTAGAGTTCGCTGTTCCGCAGTCTGATGGCCTGGTGGTGGTAGCTGTCTCGGAGTCTGCTCCTGTACTCCCTGTACACGACTGCATGGCCACGCACGACTCCAACACCACCATTAAGTTTGCCGACGACACGACCGTGGTGGGCCTGATCGCCAACGGCTACGAGACAGCCTGTTTTGAAAGTTATAACATTTAAATGAGTATTCTGATACATGTAGAACAAGAAAAGACAATAGAAAATATATTGAGTTGAATTTTTCTGTTTCATTAGTTTCTCCAGTAAGCTTGTCCAGGTTGTCAGTGTCAAACTTTGTTTGCTTTGATATTAATGCAGTGGTTTCCCGTGTCTCTTACAGCTCCCCGGGAACCTCCTGGATGTATACCATAGTCCTGGAATGGCAGCACCTACCCTCACTGTCAGCAACTCCTGCCCTGCGGATCTGACCAGTATTAAAAGGGAATACTCTGGTATGGCTTTGTTCCTTTCCCTGTACTAGGCCCATGATCCTCACTGTCCACTTCCTCCTTATTTTATATAGCTCTGGAGATAATGTTTTTTTTGGATTATAAACTTCTTATGTGATGTCCTATGTAACTTTCCATTTTGTTGAATTGTAACTTGTAAATTGTAAGAATGTATTTTTAGATTGCACAGCAGCACCTCTAAAGTATATGTTATGTTCAATATGCAGATACCAAAGCGCTGGTGAAAGAAAGACAGAAGAAAGACAACCATAACCTCAGTGAGTCATACCTTTTACATTTTTGCTCACTTCTGTATTGTTCTTTACCCACTATGATGCTAGACAGCTCTTGTTCCTCTTGGAGTGGCAGTGAGTTTCATTTCTAAATCTCTTTCTCCATGGTTTCTCTTGACAGTTGAGAGGAGGCGGAGGTTTAACATCAATGACCGCATAACGGAGCTGGGGTCCATAATACCAAAGTCAAGTGATCCGTGAGTTTGTCATTATTTTTCTCTTATTCGGGACATTTACTTTGGATGACTTAATCAGTTGTGGTATTGACACAAATGAAATCTCAATCAGATTTTCAATTTTGGGAATGAAAAGCAATATTCAATTTGTATCAGATTTGATATTCCTCTCTAACAACCTTCTCTATTTCTCTCATGGCTGTAGGGAGATGCGCTGGAATAAGGGCACCATTCTGAAGACCTCGGTGGACTACATCAGGAAGCTGCAGAAGGAGCAGCAGAGAGCCAAGGAGGTAGAGATGCGTCAGAAGAAGCTGGAACATGCTAACCACAGCTTGATGCTGCGCATCCAGGTTAGTTATTGGACATACAGTACCTTCAAAGTATTCACACCTCTTGACTTTTCCACATTTTGTTGTTACAGCCTGAATTTAAAATGGATTAAATTGAGATTTTTTTGTCACTGGCCTACACACAATAACCAATAATGTCAAAGTGGAATTATGTTTTTCAGAATGTTTACTAATTAAAAACGAAAAGCTGAAATGTCTTAAGTCAATAAGTAATATAAGCAAGCCTAAATGAGTTCAGGAGTACAAATGTGCTTAACAACTCACATAATAAGTTGCATGGACTCCCTCTGTGTAAAATAAGTGTTTAACATGATTTCTGAAAGACTACCTCATCTCTGTACCCCACACATACAATTATCTGTAAGGTCCCTGAGTCGAGCAGTGAATTTCAAACACAGATTCAACCACAAAGACCAGGGAGGTTTTCCAATGCCTCACAAAGAAGGGAACCTATTGGTGGATGGGTAAAAATAAAAAAGCAGAACTTGAATATCCCTTTTAGCATTGTGAAGTTATTAATTACACGTTGGATGATGTATCAGTACACCCAGTCACTACAAAGAAACAGATGTCCTTCCTAACTCAGTTGCTGCAGAGGAAGGAAACCGCTCAGGGATTTCACCATGAGGCCAATGGTGACTTTAAAACCGTTACAGAGTTTAATGACTGTGATAGAACTGAGGATGGATCAATAACATTGTAGTTACTCCACAATACTAACCTAATTGACAGAGTGAAAAGAAAGCCTGTACAGAATAAAACATATTCCAAAACAAGCATCCTGTTTGTTTTAAGGCGCTAAAGTAAATTAACTTTGTCCTGAATATAAAGCTTTATGTTAGGGGCAAATCCAACACAACCCATCACGGAGTACCACTCTTCATATTTTCAAGCATGGTGGTGGCTGCATCATGTTATGAGAATGTTTGTCATCGGCAAGGAAGTATGTTAGAATAAGAAGAAACGTAATAAAGCTAAGCACAGGCAAAATCCTAGAGGAAAACCTGGTTCAGTCTGCTTTCCAACAGACACTGGGAGACATTCACCTTTCAGCAGGACAATAACGTAAAACACAAGGCCAAACCTACACTAGAGTTGCTTACCAAGACCACATTGAATGTTCATGAGTGACCTAGTTACAGTTTTGACTTAAAGCAGCTTGAAAATCTATGGCAAGACTTGAAAATAGCTGTTTAACAATGATCAACAACCAACTTGACAGAGCTTGAAGAATTATAAAATGAATAATGTGCAAATATTGTACAATCCAGGTGTGCAAAGCTCGTAGACTTACCCAGAAAGACTCACATCTGTAATCACTGCCAAATGTGATTCTTCAAAAAAAATATTGTAACCACACTTTTTTTCATTCCACACCGTTCACGAAAATGTATCGCTCCTACAGACTGTGTCACGTGGCCTTGGCGCTATATAAAGCAGGCAGACAGACATCGAGGCATTCCGTTACTGTTTGATTTAATGTTAGAATGGGCAGAACTAGCGACTTTGAGCGTGGTGTGATAGTCGGTGCCAGGCACACCGGATCCAGTATCTCAAACGGCTTCCTTCCTGGGTTTTTCACTCACGACAGTGTCTAGGGTTTACCGAGAATGGTGCAGCAAACAAAAAACATCCAGTCAGCGGCAGTACTGTGGGCAAAACAGATTGTTGATGAGAGAGGTCGAGGAGAATGGCAAGAATTGTGCAAGCTAACAGGCGTGCCACAAACAGACAAATAACGGCGCAGTACAACAGTGGTGTGCAGAATGCATCTCGGAACGCACAACTCGTAGATCCTTGTCACGGATGGGCTGTTGCAGTAGACGACCACACCGTGTTCCACTCCTATCAGCTAAAAACAAGAAGAAGTGGGCGCGCGATCACCAACACTGGACAATTGAGGAGTGGAAAAACATTGCCTGGTCCGACGAATCCCGGTTGCGTCATGCTGATGGCAGAGTCAGGATTTGGCAGAAGCAGTATGAGTCCATGGATCCATCCGGCCTGTTGTCAACGGGACAGGGTGGTGGCGGTGGTGTACTGTTGTGTGGAATGTTTTCCTCGCACAATTTAGGTCCCTTGATACCAATTGAGCAACGATTGAACGCCATTCCCCGAAAAATTCAGGCTGTTCTGGAGGCAAAGGGTCCAACCTGGTACTATATGGGTGTACCTAATAAACTGAGCACTGAGAGTATATTCCTTTTATTTTTCATATTTTTATTTTTACAAATGTTTTTAAAAAATCTGCCACTGACATTAGAGTATATTGTGTAGATCGTTGACAAAATAATTAAATTTAAATAAATTTTAATCCCACTTTGTAACACAACAAAATGTGGAAAAGGTCAAGGGGTGTGAATACTTTCTGAAGGCACTGTAGTTGTCATGAATATAAGGAGAAAACTTATAGAAATGTTATCATACAATATATTTAGTGATTAGTCACAATGTTCCCTTATTTCCTTTTATTGTTCTTATGTGAAGGAGTTGGAGATGCAGGCTCGGCTCCATGGCCTCTCCAGCCCGGTGTCCCCTGGCCTGAGTTCAGACCCCTCCCTCCTCCAGCAGCAGCACCTTCAGCAGGGAGACCATACACTGGGGCCCAGCACTGGAGAGGCCTGCTCCCAAACCTTTCTCAGCCTGGGGGCCGCAGCCATGGCACAGCCTGTCCCTACCTCCTTCCTCTCCCCACCCTCCTCTGACTCCCCGGTGGGTGTGACCATAAGCAGCCCCCTGGACCTGGGCAGTCTGAGCTTCCCTGAGCTGGATGACCCCTCCAATGCTGGGCTGTACCTAGACGTGGGGTTGGGGGACATCCTCATGGACGAGGAGTGCACACTGTCCCCAGAGAGGATGGACCCGCTGTTTTTCGTGTCACCAGGTGTCTCAAAGACCAGCAGTCGTAGGAGCAGCTTCAGCATGGAGGAGGACTTGTAGCGGGGTCATATGGGACTGGACTCTGCTTTAAAACAAACAGCCAACCGTTTCACAAAAAATTACTTTGATCTGAATCATGCGTTAGTACAAAATAAATTGCAATCTTTTCCTCCCTTATCAAGTTAATATTGGTCCCTGATCTTAGAACCCCCCCCCCTTTTCAGTACACCATCAATGATGAATACAATGATTTTCAAATGGAACATAGTAAAATGAGGATTTGGATATGGACATAGATTTTTATTTTGAAAACCTTTTCTTGCAAGGCTCAACTCAACCAAGATTTCCCTGCACAGAAATTAAAGAGGAAACATTGGTGGTTTAGTCAAGTACAGTGTTTTATTGTAGAGTATATACATTGTGCACTTTAACTTTTGTGGGAAGAAAGCAGTGAGGTTCTTGTCTATTTAGTGAAATTGGCATGAACTACATAAAAAAAATAAAATAACGGGTGCTCTATTGAATTTAGATATGTTTTAACTGGCTTGAAAATCAGGGTTTGTACACTTAAAGTGCACAAGTGAATGTGTTTTACACATCTCATGTTTGTCTAACAAAAATGTACCAAAGGGATATTTTATTAAATATATGGCACATGGTTTGTGATAAAAAAAAATATTTGATGACCTATAAAAACAAAAATGTACATATATATTTACTGTATCTTACATTTTAAAATATTTGTGAACTTTCAAAACATGTTTGTTGCACCTTTTCCTGTTGTTTATGCATTTTAAAAAGCTTTTGTCTGTTGAATGGCTATAGAGCCAGAATGTAACTCAACAAGACAAAGATAGAAGTAAAGCAAAAGCTGCTGCAGCTAGTCAGCCAAAGTAGGCCACCTTTCACAGAATGATCATAGATTTAAGTCATTATACGTGTGCATTATATATATATTATTTTTTTGTCAATGAAAGTATAGCTTTAATGTATGGCAATAATCTCAAACACTGCATACTGTGTGTGTTGTAAAAACGTGCTGGGCTATGTAGTATATTTCTTAGACGATCATATGGTAATTTGTGATGATATGATAATATGAATAAGATTTATATAGTGATTTTCCAAGGCCTAGTCACATAGACTTGACCTCTAGCTCTAGACAGTTACCTTTTTCTGGGTCATCTAATCTGAAAATGTGTATGGTGATGGGACTGTCTAACATTCCATGTTTTTCCCAGAGACTGAAATCCGTGCATGGTTAGTGTGTATCACTCCTCTAGCCATCAGTCTTTCTTTCATTTGTATTGACAAGCTTTTCAAAGAAAAGTACATTCATTAACAGTATATGTTAGGGATCTGTTTACACGTCTGGAACTCTGTTTTTCTATGTATTGTCATTGATGCTTCTCACTGTTGAAACATTTGTGCCTTTACTCCATGTCAAGGAAGATAGGTGCAGAGTGTACTCTCCTAAAAAATGAGAAATGTTTGAGACATTAACTCAAAAAACAATGCAATATGTCTGATTATCTAAATGTTTTTTTTTTTAATGCAGTCTAGTGTTGCTTGGACTGTGGCAGTGGTTTGATATGAGATCCTCTATTTTGAATCATTTAGAAAAATATATATTGCTGTTCTGATTTTCAGTTATGGTTCTGCGTTTACTGGAACACAAACCTTTTAACAGCTTTAAAGGGAATATATTGTTGTTGGTTACTTTAGAATTATATTTGAATATTAAGCAATCTGTCAATCTTTACTATTTTCTGGTATGTTTTATTTTAAACCAAATAAAAATGTGGAAAAAACTTTTGCCTATGTTGTATGCTTTTCACTGCAGTGATGAAATTACAATATCATGCTTTGTCTATTTGATCATGATATTTCACAATGGACAAAGTAAAGGGTTTTCAGAGTGCAATGTGTCTCAATGGTTGGGCTTCATTGTTCTAAACACACTTCCCTTGCATACCCACTGCTTTCTCAGACTGGTATTTGGTATTGTATTAGGATCCCCATTATCTACTGCTAAAGCAGCATCTACTCTTCCTGCGGTCCACACAAGACATGAGATAATACATAACATTAATAGACAAGTATACCACAAGGACAATATATTAGAAAATGTCTACATTGATCAGTCCAACATTTCTTTTTAATTCTGTCATGGAAATAATTGTATTTCCTATTACTACGACATTTACGGTTTCTATGCCTTTAGTTTTCCATGTGGGCCAATTTATCAGTCAATTCTGAAACGCTATCCAAGGATTGTTCCATAGGGGTTTGTTTTTAGGGAGTGATATTGGTTCTTGTAGAACACGTTTCATTTTCTTCCATATGGTTGTAGTGTTCTTAATTATGAAGTTCTTAATGTTCTTAGCTCCATCCTTTGAAAACAAAAACATGAAAATATTCTGAGGATGAGCATGCACATCTTCGATATGTACCAATTGTTCCTCTTTAGTGCATCTAACAATATGTCGCAAGTAAAAGCCTTGGGTGGCGAGTTTATACAATTCAAAATCTGGAAGGTTAAAACCACCCTCAGATTTAAGGACATGTACAACTTTCCTATTTGTTCTATGAGTTATATTTGCCCATATGAAGTCTGTTATGGCAGTGTATACTTTTTTAAAGCATGTCTTCGGTGGGTTAATTGGTATTACGGAAAACAAATATAACATTTTTGGAGCCATGGCATTCTAAAGAGGTTTAAAATATACACAAGATTTCCCTGTAAAATTTATGGGGAGATTGTTCCATTTCATAAGATCTGCTTTCATGTTGTTGAGTAACGGAATGAAGTTATCTTTATATATTTGTTGTCACTTATCAAGCATTCTAAGTAATTAATATTTTTTGTGGTCCACTTAAAGGATTGTTGTAGATCATGAGTTATTTAATTTTTCTTATTGCAATTATTTCAAATTTTTTCACGTAACTTTCAGAAAATATTTTTAACAAGGGGTGCATTGAGTTTTCAATATTAGTCAGGTATATCAGGAGATCGTCAGCAAATAAGTTTAGTTTATATATATTTTTATCAATACTGATACCTGTTACGTTTGGGTCCTGTCTTATTCTTTCTGCAAGCGGTTCAATTGCCAGTGCAAACAGCAGGGGGGCGAGAGGACATCCCTGTCTCGTGCCCCTTTCTAAAACAATTTAATCAAATCATGTATTTGTGTATATTTTTGCTGTATGATCTTTATATAACATTAATATGAAATGTGTTATTTCAGCTGGAAAGTTGAATGCTTCCAAAGTTTTGAATAGAAAAGGCCACTCAAAGGGCCTCCCGAGTGGCGCAGCGGTCTAAGGCACTGCATCGCAGTGTTGTGGCGTCACTACAGCCTGGGGCTCGATCCCAGGCTGTGTCATTACCGGTCGTGATCGGGAGTCCCATAGGGCGGCGCACAATTGGCCCAGCGTGGGGAGGGTTTGTCCGGGGGACCTTTACTTGGCTCATCGCGCTCTAGCGACTCCTTGTGGCGGGCTGGGCGCCTGCAGGCTGACGTCGGTCATCAGTTGAGCGGTGTTCCTCCGACACATTGGTGCTTCTGGGTTAAGCGAGCGGGTGTTAAGAAGCGCGGTTTGGCGGGTCATGCTTCGGAGGACGCATGACTCGACCCTCGCCTCTCCCGAGCCCATTGGGGAGTTGCAGCGATGAGACATGATCGTAATCATGAAATTGGGGAGAAAAAAGGGGTAAAAATTACACTAAAATTATAAATAAAATAAAAGGCCACTCAAGACGGTCAAAAGCCTTTTCAGTATCAACAGCCATTATTGACAAATCTACATCTTGTTTTTTAGCTTATTGTATTATACTGAAATAGACACATACAAATACAAGAACCTCTTTTTAATAAACCCTGTTTTGGTAAGACTGGTAAGTCTGGTAAGACTTTTGCCATTCTGTTGCTTATGAGTTTTGTTATTATTTTATTGTTGCAATTTATTAAATGTAGGGGTCTGTTCTCGACAGGGGACTCTCCAGATTTTCCTGGTTTTAATATAACTGAAATAACTGGAACTCGGAAGCACTGAATTGAGTGACGTGTGTTGTCATTTGAATAAATAGGGGAGCTACTTTGTCCCAGAATATCAATTTTTTTTATGGGAAAGCCATCCATCCCTGGTGCTTTTCTCCGCACAAATGTTTTAACATTGTCTAATATTTATTCTTGGGTGATTTCCATGTTTAGTGATTATTTTTAATCTGCTGATCGTTGATTCAGGGTTATGGAGTTTAAGAAGGCTGTAAGATCAGTCCAACTGTTATTTAATTCTGATTTATATAGATTTTCATAAAGATTTTAAAGTTGTTATTAATAGCGTTGTTGTTTTTAATTAAAGCATTTGTATCCTTATCTTTTAAAACGATAACTGGTTTGGCGTGTATTCATTTTGTGAGGACTGCGAGGTGTTTACTAGGTTTATTTGCCATTAAATAGTATGCTTTATCTGAGTTTAACCTGTAGTTGTTGGCTCTCTTCAAAAGTAAAAGGTCATATTCCTGCTTAAGTTCAGAAATTGTATTATCTTCTTTACCTTGTAAACATTTTTATGGGCTTTTTCTAAGATAGTGATTTCTTTTTCATTTTAAACTCAGATGTAACTTTAGCTGAGTATGATATTATCATTCCCCTACTGTACGCCTTAAAAGCATCCCAAATTATGTCAGGGGTCGGCTTTTCTCTGTCCTCTATGTCTACATTTGTAATGGTAAAGGTCTTTATTTTTCATTTAACTATTTAATGCATTTCAGATCTTGAAGATGATCTCTGTTCATTCTCCATATTCTGTCACTAAATGTATTTTCTGTTGGTGTAATTAAGCATGATACAGGAGAATGATCTGATATCACTATATCATGGATTTTAGATTTTTGGAAATTGTATTTTTGGAAATAAAAATGTAGTAAATTCTTGAATAGGTTTTCTTACTCTGAGTAGTCTTTTGTAGTTGGGAATAATAATCTACAGGTGTCCTGTAAAATATTTGTAGAAATTAAAATTGTCAGCCTTTTTGAAGGCTCCTCTGATTTTCCTTTTTTTATTGCTAT